TGTGAGTAGTATTCTTTATGCCTAGACTAATAAACGAGATAAGAGACATTGGGGGAAGGGAGCTGCATAATAATATAATTGTCAAGTGGGGATAGGATCTTTTAACATTCGACGTAGTCTTTGCAGCCAGCTACGTTAAACAGCATGTTGCCATGAGACCTGGGGACTATGTGAACCACACACACATATATGTTTGCTCTTTGCCAACACTTGCCCATAATATCACTGGGCAAAACCACTGCTTACTGCATCCTTTAAAGCATGAGTAAACATCAAGAACATTTCTCCTTCTAACTCACTTCTACTTCAAAACTGGTTCTGTGAGACATCTGCTGTAAGAATGAACCATTTATCCTCCAAACAAGTGACAAGAAGAACACAGAGAATTTATTTTCTTTTAATCTGGCGTTTAAGTACTCTGATGGGATTGATGAATTTTAATACTGTCTTGCAATATGATATACATTCAGGCCCTTGCTTCCTTCACCCTCAAGTTCCTCAAATGTGAACCCCAACTTCAACTTAGGTTGTAAAGACTTCAAGCTTACCAAGGACCCACAGTTTCATATCTGCCAGTTAGGATTTCATCTGACTCATCTGGACAAATGACAGGAGCAAATCTGATTTGCCAGAACTGTAGACCTCATTAACCCTTTGTCTCTATTGGTTTACCCATTCAACACATTTGCTAAGCACCTCCTATGCCAAGCACTGTGTGGTTAATAGTTTTTTGTTTGTTTGTTTTTGTTTTTGAGACAGAGTTGCACTCTTGTTGCCCAGGCTGGAGCACAATGGCGCAATCTCGGCAACCCCCACCTCCCTGGTTCAAGTGATTCTGCTTCAACCACCTGAGTAGCTGGGACTACAGGTTCTACGCCACCACGCCCAGCTAAGTTTGTATTTTTAGTAGAGACAGGGTTTCTCCATGTTGGCCAGGCTGGTCTCAAACTCCTGACCTCAGGTGATCCACCCACCTCGGCTTCCCAAAGTGCTGGAATTACAGGCGTGAGCCACTGCGCCTGGCCAGAGGTTTTTTAAAAAGCCTATAGTCTCATTATAAACTTGAGATGAACCTTCAAGGGACCTTTGGTAAAGAAATGGTAGGTAAATTTAAGATCAAGTATCTGCTTTGCAGCTATACCTGAGGCAAATACAAAGAAGGGAGAAGTTAAAATATAAATCCAGGAGAACAAGCTCATAGTCTTTTAGTGAGAGCAGACGTGAAACAAGTGACCATAAACTCTAACAAGTACAAGAGAGATCCCGAGAAGGGAGTAATTACCTCTGTTGGGAAGGGACTAGATAGTGAGGTACGATAAACTTCTAGTAGGAGAGATTCCTAAACAGAATTCTGAGCGGTAAATAGGAACTTGTGTATCTGTGCGTATGTGGGAGGTGGGGTGGGGACTCTGGACAGAATTCAGTGTGTTAAAGGCACAGAGGTATGAAATGGGATGAACAGAGAACTCGAAGCAGCTTGGTACTGACTGAAGGTGAGATGGACGGAGGGGAAGTAAGCAGGGACCTTGTATGCTGTGCTAAGAAGTTTTGGACTCTGGCCCGGGTGCAGTGGCTCACGCCTGTAATCCCAGCACTTTGGGAGGCCGAGGTGGGCAGATCACGAGGTCAAGAGTTCGGGAGCAGCCTGGGCAACATGGTGAAACCCCATCTCTACTAAAAATACAAAAATTAGCCAGGTGTGGTGGCAGGTGTCTATAGTCCCAGATACTCAGGAGGCTGAGGCAGGAGAATCACTTGAACCCGGGAGATGGAGAGTGCAGTGAGCCGAGATTCTGCCACTGTACTCCACTCCAGCCTAGTGACAGAGCGAGACTCTGTCTCAAAAAAAAAAAAAAAATTTTGGACTCAGTGTGGGGTCATGAAGGGATTTCAGCAAGGGTGTGAAGTGGTGAAGCTTGTTTTAGTGACATCACTCCAGCAGCCATTTGTAGACCTATTGAAGGGAGCCAATTTAAAGGCAGGGAGACCAGCTAGAGGGCCACTGCAATCGTTTCTAAGACACGGTGACACGATATGATATGTGCCACTCAGCAAGGTGAGAACAAGTTACCTGCGCACTGTGTGCCTCAGCTGGCCCCATTCATGCAGAGGGATCATTATGAACATGTGATGAACCTTCAAAGGGACCTTTGGAAAAGACATGGCAGATACATTTAAGATCAAATATTCTTCTTAGTGGACATACCAGAGGCAGAGAGATGGAAGAAACTAAAGATAAATCCAAGAGAACAAATTCCTTCCTGTGGGCTCTGGCCACCACGGTGCCCAAGCACAATGAACCCTATCCGTCCTGCACAGCATAGCAGCTGGGTGTGAGGAATGATTCAGATGAGAGCTTCTAGAGGTGGGAGCCCATTTCCCAACCCTTCTGTTTTTTCATTCAAGGCAGCAGCCTCAGAGTAGATCGGCGGGGCCAGCCTCGTGGCCCTCTGACATTCTCCCCCTGTGGCTTCCAAAAAAGATCTGAACTGACCTTCCCACCCCTGAAGCTTAGCTTGAGCAGTCAGCTTGCCTGGAATTGAATTTTGATGAGTGATGCTGAAATTCAGTAGTAAAAAAGGTGGAGAGCAAGTAGTGAGTATCCCAAAGAACTCAACAGCTTGCACAAGGCGAGACAGGAGAGTAGGTCGGGGACATCCAGGCTGGGGCTACTTCTCTGACATTGTTGCTCACCCTGTGACTGGTAGGGACTCCCTGCTTCTAGGGGTAGAGGCCTTAAGAAAGGAAAAGAAAGTCAGAACCATTCTTGCAAGAAGGGGAGAAACCAGGGCCCTCAAGAGGCCACAGCCCAGACTACCTCCAGAGCCATCAGCAATCTCTTTTTTTTTTTTTTTTTTTTGAGACGGAGTCTCGCTCTGTCGCCCAGGCTGGAGTGCAGTGGCCGGATCTCCGCTCACTGCAAGCTCCGCCTCCCGGGTTTACGCCATTCTCCCGCCTCAGCCTCCCGAGTAGCTGGGACTACAGGCGCCCGCCACCTCGCCCGGCTAGTTTTTTGTACTTCTTTTTAGTAGAGACGGGGTTTCACCGTGTTAGCCAGGATGGTCTCGATCTCCTGACCTCGTGATCCGCCCGTCTCGGCCTCCCAAAGTGCTGGGATTACAGGCGTGAGCCACCGCGCCCGGCCTCAGCAATCTCTTTGACCTGCCAAAAGCTCCTCCCCCTTTCCCTAGTTAATAGGATGAGATCACCAGGCAAAAGAATATGATGAAGCATTTCACTTATATAGTATTTTTCTTTCCAAACACTTAATAAGCCTCTCTGGACTTGCTGATCTTGCATTCTTCCCGTGAAAAGGGCCAGGGATCCATGCTTGGCATTTCAGAGTTTGCACAGCTTGCGAGCTCATCTAGCCTGCTTCCCTCACTTTTAGAGTTGTGGGAACTGAAGTCCAGGGAAGTGAAATCGCTTGCTGGGATCACAGGAATGCCTCTTCCTCCTCCCAGCCCCGCACACTTTCTGCTAGGCTCATGCTGCTGTTCTGTCCATTTTGCACAGGAGAGAGGGGGTTCCAGAGTTGGGGGAATAGAGTTGGAATTAGAAATTAGTTTTGTGTGACTGGCTTTAAGGTGGTCTTAAACCTTAACAGGTTTAAGATTCTCTGTAGAATGGGACTAGTGTCACCTCAACACCTACCTTGCAAAGTTGATTATTGGGAATCACACTTGTGTAAGTGGTATAGTCTTGGCAAACAGTAGGTGCTAAATAATGTCTGGCTGGAGGAATGGAGCCCTGTTCCCATATGGCATTCATCCAGCCAGTGTGTGGAGCTGGGGGAGGGATAGGCACGACTCCTGAGGTCCAGATCCTCCCTGAAGCAGGAGGCCCAGCACCCGCCCAGGCTAGCCAGCCAGCCCTCCCAGGGGTATGCAACATCCAGAACAGTCTATAGTCCCGTTAGTATGCCTCATGCCTGAGACCTGACCAAGGACGTCTGTGAACAAACCCTTCACAGAGAGCTTAATGAGACTGTGGGAGTGCTGATGGTTGGGTGTCGGGATACAAGCCATTGAAGGTGGAAGGGCTGGTGTGATCAGTTTGGTGGTCTGCCCAAGACAGAGACCCCGTGGGTCAGATAAGAAGGAGATCATAGGTTTGAGGGAGTCACATGTCCCTTGCACTTCCTCCTATTCCCCCAGGACCCCGTCTTCACCCAGCCTCCTCCTAAGGGCAATTCTGTTGTATTAGGATGAACCACAAGGTGTACTGAAATGAACCGCGTGTCAGAAAGCGGGGTTGCCTCCTGGGTCCTGCCACTTGCTCCCCGTGTGTTCTTGGCCTGGTCCCTTCATCTCTTCTAGCCTCAGGATCTTCATGCGTAACATGAGATCCTCCCAAGATGCTGGTATGTATACAACAGTGCTCTCGAATTACTCCATGCAAGCTGTTGCTCTTCAGCCTCCTGAACAAGGTGGTCTTGTCTCTTCCCATGAAACCTCCACCTCTCTCCATCTTCTGCACCACTGAGGCCGCAGTCTCTTCTAACAGGGCACGCTCGTCCCCCGCGCTGTTCCCCGAAAGCCACCAGGAGGCGCCCCTTGCTCGCTGAAGCCAGCCGGGCTAATAACTCCTCGGGGCCGGGGCGGGCTGCCCCTTTGCGCAGGGCGGTGGAGGGTGCGGGCTGCACTGGGTTCCCCACCTGAGGTCCGTACCTCGCAGCGCCCGCTTAGCCGCGCGCCCCGCGCCCCTCGCCCCTCGCCCCAGCCGGGCGCCGCTTCCCAGCCGGGCGCCTCCCGCTCGGCCCCGGCCCCTGGGCAGCCGCAAGTTTGCCCCCGGCCGCGCGGACCCGCGCCCGCCCTGCGCGCTGCAGCCCCCGCCGTTCCCGTCGCCCCCGCGCCTGGGCTGCCAGGCGAGGCTCCGAGGGACGCGGGGGGGCGTGCGGCTGCCCGAGGGGCGCCGGCCCGGCCCCGAAGGGGCGCCCCCAACCGGCCGGCCGTGCGCGGGGCCGCCGCAGTTCCCCGGCTGCCCGCCGGGCGGCGCCCCGCGCCTCGCCGCGCTCCTCCCGCGCTCCCCGCGCCGGGCTCGCTCGCAGCCGGACACAGACTCTGCCTTCAGCTGCCGGCGGATCGGGCTGGAGCCGCCGCGGCTGCTGCGGAAGAGAAAAAACGGCCAACAGCAGCTCCGCGGCGGGCCCAGCAGCGCCTGGCCCCCAGCTCAGCCCCCGGAGTGCGGAGCCGCCCAGGTAAGGGCAGCGGCCCCCGGCCCGCTCCCTGCGCTGCCCCCGCGCCCCCGAATCCCCTCCGCGCGGGCCTCTCCCGCACCCACACCCGCACCCCGACTTCTGACGTCTCCGCCGCTCCTGCCCTCGGGGGCCGCGGCCCCGCGCCCCTGCCCCGGCCCCCGCCCCCGCGCTCTCCTCCCCGCTCCCGCCTCCCGCCAGCCCAGTCCCTGGCACTCTGGTCCCTGCGTCTCCAGATTCGCCGCCGAACCCCCACCTCTCTGCTCCCGTAGTTCCTCCAGTCTCCATCCCGGTCCGTCTCCCTCCCTCCGCATCCCTTCCCCGGACTCGCCGTCCTCCCGCTCTTGTCCTCCCCCTCCCCGTGCAACTCCCAGCCCTGCCTCTGCCCCCTGCAGGGATGGCAGCCCCTTCCCAGCCTGGCGCGTCTACCCTACACCTCGTCACCCTCCGCTTCTCCCAGAGCCGCTGTTCCTCGCTACAGCCTCCCATCCCGGCTCAGCCCGGCATCCCACCAAGCCCCCTCCCCTCTCCCTCACTGCCATCTGCCTCGACTGCCCCCTGCCCCTGCACTGGACTCGGGCCACCACCACACCCCCCACCCCGCACACCGTGCCCACCCTGCACTTGCTTGGGGGAACCAGAGCCCTATCAGAAATGACCCTCTTTGCCCGGGCGAATGGGGCTCCCACCCATCTCACCCTAGTTCATCCGAGTGGGAAGTGAGGGAGAAACTCTAGAGACCTGCATTGGGCGCGTGATGGGGGAGGGGGCTGGGGCGGAGGGGGAGGGGAGCTGATTTAGATTCTCTCCAGTGAGGATTGGCAGAGCTGTGCGCTCCGACCTGGCTGGCGTGGAGGGCGTGCAGGCGACAGCTGGGACAGGGGGTTCAAGGCACTGAGAGCACCTGTGTCTCTTTCCCTGGCTCCCTTGAGCTGAGCAAAGTGAGGGGAGGAGTTGGAGCCTGGGGAGAGTTGGCTGAGGGCCTTGGGATGGGGGAGGAGGCGGCGGAGGGGGCTGGGCCCGGGCGCCTCTGGCCCGTCTGCCTGGCAGTGGTGGGGCAATGCGGGCCGAGCCACTCCCGGGCTGGACCTTGGGCTGCGTGGCTCTTGGCATCTGTACTTGATGCTGCCATCTTCCTCTTGGTGCTGTTGTCTGGTGATGCCACGCGGTGCCACCTCCCTGCCTCCCTCCAGTGGCTCTCCTGGGCATGTCTCCCAAGGGTCTGGGTTGTCTGGAAAGAGGAGAGGAGCTCTGGGCACAGCTGGGCCCTTTTGCCAGGCAGTGGGCAGCTGTCAAGACCAGGCCAAGAGGTCTGAGGGCTGGTCAGGAGGACTGAGCCCTGCCAGGAACAAAGAACTACCTTCACTTTCACTCCCTATGGGTCACCCGGGTGGTAGTGACCCTTCTAGGAGCACCCGGAAACTGCGGGCGTGGTATCTCTGGGGAGAGAGGCCGCCTGGGTTGGTAGTGGGCATCTGAGAGACAAATCCGGTCCTGCCTTAATCCCTGAGTGTCTGTGCTTGCGTGGTCAGGGACAAGGGACTTGTCGAGGTCGACTGTGTTCCGGTCCCACCAGGGATGGGAGCCCCTGGAATTCCACTGGGCGTCATCATCATCATGCTGGTTTTATTTGCTGAAGCTGCAGCTCAGGCTTCATCGTTAATCAGGTTTATTATTTTTCTCACTGGCTGGATGTGTTCCTCAAGGTCACGACCCTTTGGAGAGTTAATCTAATATGCACACATTACAGTGTCTGAGTTTGTTTAATTTTCCATATTTTGTTCATTCTTTGTGGCCCGGGCTTGCCCACCAGCCTCCGGCCTGTCTCACCAGCTCCACCCCCCTGTCCTGCTCTGGACCTGCCACCTGAAACCCAGAGGCAACACCAGTCCCTCCGGGTCGGGGAGAGGCGGGTGCTCGGCAGGGGAAGTTGGGAGAAGATCTTGGTTTTCTGTGTTTTTCCCATCCCCCCACCTGGGCATCTTGATCGGTGGCTGCTGTCTTCCCCAGCACTGAAAGTTCTTCCAAGAACCTGGGTCAGCTTCGTGGTCTGATTTCCAGTTTGGTTTTCCCTTAGGATGTAGAGGGAACTTTAGTACCGGGAGAGAGGCGGAGACTCTAGGAGAAGGTCCCAGCTGCAGAGTCAGGGCGTCCAGCAGAGAGGAGCTCAGCTGCTTCTGAGGTGGTTCTCAGCCATCCAGAGATGGAAGGGAGGACAGGGCGACCGGCCCTGGATTGGGGGAGAGACTGCTCAGAAAGCAAGAGGAGCAGCGAGGCAGAAGCTGGCCTTCGTGTGTCTGGGGAGGGTGGGCAGTGCCGAGCGTGTGTGGGAAGGATGCATCTCTTGGTGCTTCTGCGTAGTACTAATCCCTTATGTGTGTATGGAGTTCTGCAGCGTTTCAGATGCCTCTCAGAACAATTACTTCATTTGGTCTCTACTACAGCCCTGCAAGCGTCTGATCACTCCTTACAGACAAACTTATAAGGAGGCATTAATGACCCAACAGAAGCTGAGGCCCAGAGAGGATGGATTCCTTATCCAAGGCTCCGCAGCTGGGTCCAGGCCTCTGACGCTCAGTCCAGTGCTGTTGGGCTAGTTCCTCTTGCTTTTCAAGGTCTCAGCTGTTCAGTTCTCAGAAAGCCCACCCTCGGTCCTGCCTGTTCCTCGGTTCATCCCCTTCACCCTCTCCAGTGATGGCTCACCGCTCCCACCCCCACCCCAGGCCTGGTGGAGTCTTTGCTCTGTGGTCTCCTCCGCCTTAGACTGGCTGCCTGGGTGTCCCGCCACCCCCTAGATCCAACCGACCACCACCTACCCCATGTGGGCACTGTCTCTTGCCTCCCCCTGGTGGAAGGAGCAGCTGGGTTCCCCTAGGCATGCAGCCGGGGCGCCTGGGGCACCCCCCCTTCCCTCTCTCTGGTGCCTAAGGCCTCAGCCCACTCAGTTCTTTTGGGCACTTCGAGTGTCCACTCTGACCTTTGCTTTCCCACTGATGTGGTCCCTACTTGGGCCTTTGGCTGTTCACCCTGGGTTACTGTCCTGACAGCTTCCTTAGTGGGCCTCCAGCCTCAGTTTCCAGCCATTCTGCCGCTGTGCCTGTCTTCTTACAGAGGGTGGCGCTTCTCACAGGGGACCCTGTCTCAGCAGTCCTCAGCAGCACTGCCTTCCAAGATGCCTTGGAGGTGAAGGCCCTCTGCACGCTGATCCCAACTTTACGTCACAACATGGTGTCTGGCATGATCTTGTCTCCCCTCCCCCTGCCACCCAGCCCTGGCACTGTGTGTCCTCACCCTGGCCCTTTGCGTTTCCTCCTCTTTTCCTCCCATCCATGTCTTGCCCAGCCTTCAAGGTGCTGGTGGAAGAGAAACCAGTTCCAGCTACCAAATGTCAGGCAGACCTGGGTTCCTGTTCTCGCATCACTCCCTGCGTGACGTCGGACAATTTGCCTCACCTCTCTGAGCTCACTGCCGTCACCTGTAAAATGGGGACCCTGAGCCTCACTGCCCTCACCTGTAAAATGGGGACTCTGAGCTCACTGCCGTCACCTGTAAAACGGGGACGCTGAGTTCACTGCCCTCACCTGTAAAACGGGGACTCTGAGCCTCACTGCCCTCACCTGTAAAACGGCGACGCTGAGCCTCACTGCCCTCACCTGTAAAACGGGGACTCTGAGCCTCACTGCCCTCACCTGTAAAACGGGGACTCTGAGCCTCACTGCCCTCACCTGTAAAACGGGGATGCTGGGCCTCACTGCCCTCACCTGTAAAACGGGGACGCTGGGCCTCACTGCCCTCACCTGTAAAACGGGGACTCTGAGCTCACTGCCCTCACCTGTAAAACGGGGACTCTGAGCTCACTGCCCTCACCTGTAAAACGGCGATGCTGAGCCTCACTGCCCTCACCTGTAAAACGGGGACTCTGAGCTCACTGCCCTCACCTGTAAAACGGCGACGCTGAGCCTCACTGCCCTCACCTGTAAAACGGGGACTCTGAGCTCACTGCCCTCACCTGTAAAACGGGGACTCTGAGCTCACTGCCGTCACCTGTAAAACGGCGACGCTGAGCCTCACTGCCCTTACCTGTAAAACGGCGACGCTGAGCCTCACTGCCCTCACCTGTAAAACGGGGACTCTGAGCCTCACTGCCCTCACCTGTAAAACGGGGACTCTGAGCCTCACTGCCCTCACCTGTAAAACGGGGACTCTGAGCCTCACTGCCCTCACCTGTAAAACGGGGATGCTGGGCCTCACTGCCCTCACCTGTAAAACGGGGACTCTGAGCTCACTGCCCTCACCTGTAAAACGGGGACTCTGAGCCTCACTGCCCTCACCTGTAAAACGGGGACTCTGAGCCTCACTGCCCTCACCTGTAAAACGGGGATGCTGGGCCTCACTGCCCTCACCTGTAAAACGGGGACTCTGAGCTCACTGCCCTCACCTGTAAAACGGCGACGCTGAGCCTCACTGCCCTCACCTGTAAAACGGGGACTCTGAGCTCACTGCCCTCACCTGTAAAACGGCGACGCTGAGCCTCACTGCCCTCACCTGTAAAACGGGGACTCTGAGCCTCACTGCCCTCACCTGTAAAACGGGGACTCTGAGCCTCACTGCCCTCACCTGTAAAATGGGGATAAAACTCACCTGCTTTCAGAGGGTTGGCAGCATGGAATGTGAGTGGGAGTGTGACTCGTCCGGTGTGAAGGGCACCTGCATGGATATCGAGGGCACATTCTCTGGGTGGCCTCCTCCTGCTCTCCCTCTGTATGGGCTGGCTGAGTCCCCTCATCCTACCTGGCATTGGTAATCGTCTGTCGGTTTGTCTCCCCACCCAGACGGCAGATCCCTGGAGGAGCAAGGCCTTTCCCTGACACCTTTTCACATTCTCCAGCACCCAGCAGAGTGAGTAAATCGGCCCTGTCCGTAGTAAGGACATAAGATGTAGCTGTTGCTTGATTATAACATTCTGTTACATAAAATAGGGTATGCCTTACATTTAGCAAATC